CATTTTTTGTTTACAGAACAGAGCTTCGGCCGGGCGTGCGGTGCTCACGGCTGTAATCCGCACTTTTGGGAGGCCGACGAACGCGGAATCAGCAGAGTGCAGGAGAGTCGAGACCGATGCCTGGCTAACATGGTGAGAAACACGCCGTCTCTACTAAAAATACCAAAAAAAGAAAAGAAAACTAAGTCGGGCGAGTGGCGGGCGCCTGTAAGTCCAGCTAAACTCGGGAGGCTGAGGGCAGCAGATCGGCGTACACCGGAGGGGCAGAGTTTGCAGTGAGGCTGAGATCCGGCCACTGGCACTCCCAGCCTGCGGGCGACAGCGCGAGACTCCGTCTCAAAAAAAAAAAAAAAAAAAAAGACGCGAGTCCGCTCTGGCGCCCTCGGCCTCCCAAAGTGCTGGGATTACAGGCATGAGCCACTGCGCCTGGCCGGTTTCCTTCATTTTTGATGTGTAGTTGGTTCCCTAGGAGCTAGGGGCAAGTCACTGTGTTTTCAAATCTCCAGATTCTCTTGGAATACCTCTGTGTGTGTTTTATTTATTTCATTTTCTTCTGCTTTTGAGGGATGGCTTTTTAAATTCAATTTTGTTTGTAATTATGAAAAACAAATGTTTGCATGGTGCCAGGATTAAATCTGTACAATGAGGCGACACCCAGGACCTGACCTGGGCTGCAGGTGTCTGAGAGCCAACAGGGCTCCTCACCACCCAGACCCCAGGCAGAGGCCACCCTGGAAGACAAAGGGGGCCTGGTGCAGGGCCAGGATCCGGGGAGCTAGGGGGCGGCGAGCAGAGGCGGCCCAGTCCAGGAGCACGGAGCTGCCCCCTCACCCGCTGGTCACCCCTCCCACACAGGTCGCCAGGCAGGAGGGGAGGATCATCCTGACATCGGGGCAGCCATTCCACAAGGTGAGTGTCCCACAGATGAGCTCAGTGGGCCTGAGCCCCATCTTCCCAAGCCCCTAGCCCCTCGGCCACCCCCACCTCAGGATCAGCTTGCCATGGGGCCGGCCCCCAGTGCCTCTGCCATACCCCTGGTGGGCCAAGAGAAGGCTCCTGCCTCATCCTGGTGGAGATGGGCTGGGCCTGGGCAGGTGCTGGGCTCTGCACTGCCCTTCAGTAGCCGAACCGTGTCTTTGCAGCTCCGGGCCCAGGTCGGGGCTGGGCGCTGCCTCTCGGTCGACTGCTCCCTGAAGGCCCAGCAGCAGGCTAAGGCTGTGCTCAAGCATTTCAACGTGCGCGTCACCCACGCAGACATCTTCAGCCGCTGCCAGGTGGGTCCTGCGCGCCCCGTCCTACCTCGGGCTGGCACAAGATCCGGAGCTACGGGGGTGTCCAGGGAGGTGGGCCCCCCAGACAGTGGCGGACGGCAGAGGCACCTGCCACACCCTCTGCTCTGCTCATGGGAGCCAGGACCACGAGCAACCCTGTTGCTCCCACCTCCACCCAGACACCCACATGCCTTGGGGGGCTGCTGCAGTCCGGGGTGAGGCGCCGGCGGAGCGTCCCTGCTGGGTCCGGGGTGAGGCGCCGGCGGAGCGTCCCTAGTGCAGGCCGGCATGGCCACGGGGACAGCTCCCATCAGGCACTGGTTGGGATTTGGGGAATTCCCTCCAGCTCCCATGGGGTTTCTGAAAGGAATCGAGAGAAATTGTGGAAGCCTCTTCGGGCTGGGCGGGTCGCACTTTCCAAAGGCATCACACAGAACAGCCTGCGTCTGCTTGGTGACCTCTAGCAAGGTCTGGGCAACAGAACCCCTGAGTGGGAACTGCCGCACCTCGGTGGAGAGCCGTAGCGGAGGCCGGTGGGGGCACCAAAGCCCAGCTCGCCTCTCTCCCTCCTCTCCTGTCCCCAGTGGGGGACTGAGCTAAGCCACCTGCCCAGGGCTGCACTGTCCAAGCTTGCCGTGCCCCACACCGACTGGCTTGAACCCACTGGGCACCTGGGCATGGCCAGGCTGAGGGGGAGCTGATGCCGCCTTTTGCCCGCCCATGCCAGGGGCCGGGGGTCTCCGTGGGCAACACGGGAGCAGGGGGACTGTGGGCTGTGCTGGCTCTCGGCAGCTCCTGGTGGAGGGTACGGGCTGCTTCCAGAACGTTCCGGAGTTAGGGCCACATCAATATTCCGCCCAGAGCAGCAGGTCGGGGCTGCTCCACCACGCTCAGTTTTGTTTCCTGGGGTTTTTTGGGGGTGACGGAGTCTCACTCCATCACCTAGGCTGGAGTGTAGTGGTGCAGTCTCAGCTCACTGCAGCCTCCGTCTGCCAGGTTCAAGCGATTCTCCCACCTCAGGCTCCTGAGTAGCTGGGACTACAGGCGCCCACCACCATGGACGGCTAATTTTTGTAGAGATGGGGTTTCACCATGTTGGTCAGGCTGGTCTTGAACTCCTGACCTCAGGTGATCCTCCTGCCTCAGCCTCCCAAAGTGCTGGGATTACAGGCCTGAGTAATCCCAGCCTCCCAAGCCCAATTTTGGGGGGAGGTTTTGGGACTCCCTCATGGAGGGAGATCCCCTCATGGAGGCCACTGCCAGGGTCCCTTCTGGCGCCTGGGCTGGGCAGGGAGGGGCCCTGAGCTCAGCTCCACCCATGGTCCTCAGGGGCACCCACCTGGCTGAGCAGGGACAGATGCAGGCCTGGGCCTTCTGCTACCGCCCTTCTGCCCCCACAGCCTCAGGCTGGGCCAGCGGGGACTGATGCAGGAAGGAAAGAGGGAAAGCTCTGGCTCAGATCTGCAGCCGGCCGGGCACCTGAACACACAGGCCCCTGGACCTCCCACTGCCCCTGGCCTGGGGTGCAGTCTGACCCTCTGACCCCACGGCTCTGCCTCAGGTGGCAAGGAAGTGTGCTCCAGGGGCCTCTCCTTCAGCCTTGGGCTCCAGGGGCAGCAGGAACCGCGTCCGCTGCCTCTCTTTGTCTGTGCTCAGGCCGGCAAGTGCTGTAAAGACCCCAGGATGTCCGGGATGCCTGGGGAGGCATGTTAATGAGCTGTTCAGAATCGGCTGCTGCATTTTCTTGAGAAAACAGGAAGTTGGGTCGCTGGGAGGAAACCCCTGCTGGAGCCCTGGGCAGCCGGGTGCTGGGGAGCGCCCCTGAGGACCCAGGCCAGGCGCAGAGGGGCCGCCAAGCCCTGCATGGAGAAGGGCGTCCAGGGTGTGAGACAGAAGGGCGGACTTTGGCCTGGCGGAGCGGATGGGATGGGGGGCTACAGAGACTGAGCAGGTGGGGGCCGCCCTGTCCCATGTCCGCCCTGCCTCTTTGCTGGCTACTGGTAGCTCCAGGCTGCTGATGCCACTCTGCCACTCACACCCTGCAGCCTCCAGGGTGCCCCTGCTGTGGCAAGCAGGAGCACCAGGCCCAGGGGGACTGCAGACAGAGCAGGCCTGGGAGGGGCTAAGGCCAGAGCTGCACTTCCGTTGGGGGCCAGCAAGCGTCCAGGCCAGAGAGGGCAGCGCCAGCCGCCCAGGACCAAGGCATTGAGGGAGGGAGCATCTGGGTCTCAGAGACTGCAAACAGCCGGCGGGGAGTTCAGCCTGGAGGGTACCCTAAGCCCTGGCTGCAGCCCTAGGCAGCGACCTGCCACCTGTGGCAACCCCTCTGTGTGGGGGCAGGATGTGGGAAAGGGGCGGGTGAGCTGCCTTGGCCCCATGGACTGCACGGCCGGGGGCCCTGCGGATACAGGCATCTCTGTGTGTGCATATCCCACGGATGCTGGGTGGTGCACTGTGAGGAGAGAACCATGCGTTCCCCCTGCCCGCCCCAGCCTGGGAGCAGAGCATATGCTGGCAGCCACACCAGAGCCCGAACCCCCGGTGCAGGGCTGGCAGGGGAGAGGGTGCTGGTCCGTGCAGAGCCCCATGTGTATGAGCCACATGTCGCATCAGGTGGGAGCCCAGGTGGGAGGGAGGCGCGTCAGGGCTGGGGACCCTGTTGGGCCCTAGCAGGGAGCCCTTGGGCAGGTGACAGAGAGCTGTTGGGAGAGGGGCCCCCTGTGCACAAGGGTCCCGCAGGGCCAGCGTGATGGGGCCAGGAGGGCAAGAAAGGGGTCTCTGAGAAGTTGAGATGTCTACATTTGAACCTGGCCTTCCAGGTTCCAGGTAGGGTGGGAGAATGGAGTTTGCTTTGCACAAGTGCCTCAGCCGGCTGGTGGCCCAATGCCTGCAGCCTGGGGTCCCACGTGCACACCTGCCTCCTTGGCTCTGGAGTCAGGAGAGGAGCTCAGAGCCTGGAGGGCCAGGGCCCCAGGCCACATATCCATGATGACCATGTGCTCTAGAAAGTTCTTCCTAGGGCTGGGCAGGCTCAGGCCACGTTCCCACCACCCACTCCAACAGCACTGCAGCCTCAGTGCTCCCAGCTGAACCCTGGGAGCTTGGCCTGAGTGGGCAGCTGGGAACACCACTGGTCGGCCACCCCACACACTGGCTGCCCCATCCCCACCCCAGAGGCGAAGGGAGGCCCATCCTCGGGGCCAAAGAGGTGGACACGGGCAAAACAATGGAGGCCAGGCCCAGGGACCACGCAGGCCCAGCTCCATGCAACTGCAGACCCCGGCCCTGCCCCCGAGGCCACCATGCAGGGCTGGGCTGGCTGTGACCCATCCGGACACCAGAGGGCTGCTGGCCATCACCAGCCAGCAGAGAGCGGCACGCTCAGGCTGACGCAGCAGCAGAGATCGGCGAGATTGGCCTTTCGCCCTGGAGCTGCCCACGGGGCCTGGCTCTGGCCTCGGTCACAGGATCTGAGGCTCACAGCCTCCGCTGTCCCCCAGCTCCGGCCAGAACTGGCCACCTCCCTGGAGAGCGCCTGCCGCCGGCTGACTTTCCATTTTCTTCTTCCTTCTGCTATTTTGGTGCCGTTCCCGGAGGGAAGGCCCACTCAACATGCAGGGTTCCCAGAGCGAGGCTGGGGTGCTGTCTGGGTGGCGCGGTGGGCACACAGCAGGGAGTGAGCAACGGCACACGTGATTGAGCCCAAAGCTGGGCCAGGGACCTGGCCAGGGGTCTGTGGCCACCGCCGGCCCCACCACTCAGCAGGGACCCCGAGCGGTGGGACTCCTGGGTGCTGGGGTTGCTGATGCCGGCTTTCTGGTAGCATCTGCCCACGCGTGCCCTTGAGTCAGGCAGGGAGGGGCTCCCCTCGAGCGAGGATGGCCCACCGGCCCACCCACAGGAGCCACAGGGGCCGTAGGTCTCAAGTAGAGGGCAGGGCCGTGCCCTCTGGGGCAGGGTGGGGATGGGGAACATTCCCAGTGCCGTCTACCATGGGAAAATATTTTATCAAAGAAGCTCGAGCTTAAAAAAAAAACCCTCACCATGAACCCCTGACATGGCCAGGCATACCATCTATTTTTACTGTCCCCAGTCCCCACCCCCCTAGCATGGTTGGGGAACGGGCTGCAGCCCCCACAGGGACACGTCCTGAAACAGTGGCGTCAGCCCCTCAGAAGCAGGCATCCCAGGAGGCTGTGGTGATCCTGCCTCCAAGGGCTCCCGGGCAGAGCTGGCCATTGTTGGGGGGGTGAGGGGGGTGCGGCAGCCAGGTCCCAGCTCATGGGCGCCTGGGAAGCCCTGCAGTGCTGGGCAGGGACCCTGGGGAGGGTGGTCCAAGAGGGGGTTCTCGCGGAGGGGACGGAGTGGGCCGCAGGGCGGCTGTCCCCAGCATTCACACTCAGCACCTGGAGCCTGCCCTGACAGGGGCTTCAGAGCCCAGACCCAAGATCCAGCCTGGGGGCCCCAGTGCTGCCCACTCCTGCCATGGGCCTGGAGACCCTCACATTCTCTGTGCTCAGCTGATGGACAGAGGGACAGACAGGAGGAGGTGCAGCAGACCCCACCCCTCCCAGGCTCCGTCCGCCTCAGCCTAGACCCCATTCCCACGCTCGGCACCCCCATGTCACACAGGCACGCAGGGTACAGAAGGACCTCCTCCCTGCTCACAAGGTGGCGGGAGGGGCCCAGCCCCAGAGCTCTGGAGGAAGACGGGCCCTCCAGCCAGGGCGTGGAACTGCAGGGCAAGTTTCAGTAGCTGGTGGGCCTAGCACAACCCCCAGGCTGGGGACAAACAGGGGATGACGGCACCTGAGGGGACTTAGTGCAGCCCCCAGGGCTGACAGGAGGGTGGTCAGCCAGGAGCCCAGCTGGTTCCCCCGGGAGGCCACCCACACCACCTCCCCACAGCCTTGTGGGCTGGGGACCCTCCAGAAGGCCCCAATGCCCCCTCGTCCCTCCCTTTCTTAGCAGCCTTCCAGAAAAGCCGTGGGTCTCAGTCAGAG